CCCCCCCCCCCCGAAAAACAGACAAAAAAGCGAAAAATTAACATTCAATGAAACTGCCATACTGAAAAGAACACTTGTATTTGTGTATCTTTGACTCACCTTACCACAACGAGCCGACCCTTCCTTCTTCACAGTGAGGACTTTGCCCACCGTGACTTAGGCAGGTACAGATGTGTTCTCTCTGGGCGGAACTTGAGCTCCCATTCTGATGACGTCACCACTGACTGGTACAAAACGCTTCAGTGACGTCACCGGTGATGACAGACCTGACCGGAACAGTCAACTAGCGTCGACGAATACAGCGTCTACATGTTTGAGATGGAGTTGTTTTTTAATTTTTAATTTTGTGTTTGTTTGTTTGTTTGTTTGTTTATTCTTACTACAGCTTTTAAATACCTTCGTGACCAGTAATATACCCACTTCTTTTTTAAAAATTTGTGACAAATGAGGTAAGATGCTGTTATGATGAACAGCGCTCGTTATGCCTTGTAAAGCGCAAGAGTCATAATGACAAATGTTGCGAGATTAATTTTGCTTGTTTCCGGTGTTCTATTCTTACAAAACGTGCTTTGAAAAACTAATTGAAGATTCAAATTCAGCGATACTTTTTCCCTACGAAAAAACAAATCTTTTGCTTTTTAAGAGGTAGTTTTTTTGTACATTATGTATTTGCACACCACGTCTAAGAAAGGGCTATCGACCTCAGTATATAGCGCCACGCTTCGATCTTGGAGATCCAACACTTTGGATCAGTGGAACACAAACTGATCCTGCACAAGGTAGGTCTAGACGGGATGTAGCATGTTTGGATATGGTGCATTAAGCACTGAGTCAATTTCTTGATGGAACGTCTTTGACCTAGCATTATTTGGGGGAGATTTCCAGGTGCTACACTCATTTGTTTCGCTTGGATTGGAAACTGTCTTTAAAATAGAAGGTTCCGTCACTTATTATACTCTTTCTGTGCCGAAAGGAGGGGGGGGGGTAACTCCATGCATGTATTATTATGCAACAGCTAATCAACAGTAATTAGTCTTGTAAACACGAATATATCATTTTGAAGTTGGAGCACCATGCTCTGATGAGCAAAGTACACTTTACTTGAGGAAGGGGGAAGGGGGGAAGAGGAACGGGGGAGGGGGGGGGAGATGAGAGTATGGTTACTAAGTGAGAAGAAAGGGGAAATGATAGCATCTACCAAGTGGAGGACGCAATGAAAAGTATGTTGACCTCAAGAGGTTCAGATGCTCGTTCAAAGCCCGATATTTTGAAATTGCTTCGTTGACCATTTCAATTTCATATTATTATGTGGTATTGGCTACGTGTGTTTGAGAAACATTTGTCCAAATTCAAATTCCAAAAGTAAAAAAAAAAAGAAATATTAAGACGAGTTGCATAATGTAGGAGAATTTATTTAAAGAGAATGAAAAAGACAGGTTTTGCTATCTCCTAAAAAACAAGAAACAAATCTTTCTGGGCGAAAAAGAGAAGAACACATTACCATCAAAATCCTGAATTCCTGGAAGTGTCATCTCTGACCCAGAATTTGACGTGTAATGACCCTCCATCCTTCAAAGTCGCGAGCTGCTGTGGCACATTATTCCGTACCCAGGCCAGTCCATGTTTTAATGTTATCTATTTATGTTACTCTTTGTCTTCCCTTGGTTCTCCTGCCCTGCATCCTCCTTTAAAATGGTCTGGGGTCGTTTTAAGTGACCAGAGTATTGTATCACAATTATAGCCTTCATGTTCAGTTATGATAAGATTATTAGTTTTTGTAACAAAATTAAAAGAAAAACACACACACAGTCACACACACACAGACACACACGCACACAAACATACACACACACACACACACACATACACACACACACATTCACACACACATTCACACACACAAGCGCACACGCACACACACACGCACACACACACACACACACACAACACATTTCTGAAGTTCCATAGAGTCATAAAGGTAAACATTCAGCACCTACCTTTTTGTTTTGTAACATTTTTTGTTGTTGTGACATGAAAAGTTGAAATATATTTTTGTTTTTCTTCGCCCAAACTAGATAATAGTCTCTCTTAAGCACCCTCTCTTACTCTTAGTTGGTTGCACAAAATCAAGAATTGTACCTTGAGCGGTTTCTTTGCTATTATTCCTCTAAACAAAAATGTTTGCATAATTTAGAGAGTAGTGTGTTCAGTGAAAACTTAAGAGCAAAGTACATTTAAAAAGGTACTTATAGAAATTTTTAACATTAACAAAGCTGGAAGGAATGTGCTCTTAAGGGGGGGGGGGTTTACACCTGGAGGCTATCTCGCTTATTACTGGACCGAATTTTACCAAATGTCACACATATTAACAAGCATAGTAAGGAGTCTTAAAATCCGCAATCAAATTTGAGAAAAAAAATTCGTTTCCATGAATACGCCGCCATATTGGATTTTATTGACCTGTCTTACGTAATGAATACCGTACTTATCGCTTATGGAAATTGATTGTTTTTTTGCATGCGTGTTTACAAACAATAGATCTAAAAATTTGTCTGTTGATTTTTTTCTTAATCGAATTACAAAAATTTTAATGAATTTTTTCCTGAGGTAGCACTCAAGTTTGCGAAAAATCCGTGAAAATCCACACTCCAGACACCACCAACAAAAATCTATTCCATATATCAAAATTTCAACAGACAAATATTTAGTATTACATCTTTTCTTCATTCTGTGAAAATTTCATGAAGATTGGATGAAAAATGGTGGAGTTATTTAAAAAAGTATAGAGAAAAGTCGCATTTTGAGAAAAACGGCCGACAAAGAAAAATAAAATACTGACTTAATGAGGAAATGGCGGTTACAAACATGCCCAGTATGGGATAAAATACAGTTTTTGGGGGGTTCCTATGCCATGAAATAGTTGTAGGAGAGGCTGAGGAAGCTAAAATGCCTACAACTCAAATTCCATGATTTTGAGCCGAATTTTGATTTTGGGGGTGTAGCCCCCCCCCCCCCCTTAAAATGTCTATCCTCCTATCCTTCTATATTCTCCCTAATAATATACACAATGCGTTGTGTTATCGCTGTGATCAGCGTATTCACGGGAGTTACTGAATAAATTTGAATGGAACAATAAATTCATCATTTATTGGCAACCAAGAACAATATTTTGTCAATATCAATCATAAATCAATGTCATTCCTCTCTCTGTCCTTCTTTCTCTATCTCTCTGTCTCTAGATGTGGGCAAAATCCTGATAATCTATAGGATAACCGGATAATTCTCCATGAAACATTATCCGAATTCAGACCAACCCTCTCTGTTCAGACTCTTAACTCTCTTTTTTCCTGAACTGTTTGCTGAAGTGGGAGCACCGTACCCATTTGTTGAAATGATGCTACCTGCTTGTCGAAGTGGTTCTCACCCATTTGCCGAAGCGGTTCATATCATATTATTTGCCGAAGAGGTGCACTAAGATAGTGTCCGGATTTTGCTAAAGCGACTCATTGCCCAGCCGAATCTGTCTCGCTATAGCTGTCTATATATTCTGTTTACCTTCTCCAGCCCTGCATCATCCTCG